ATATAATCAATAGCAGTTAAAATTTAATAAATAATAATTTTTACCAAAATTATAAAAAATCTAGGCTGGTCTCTTGAACCTAAAATTGGCCTAAAAAATTCTAAACTTATTTTGCTAACCCTGATCTAGTCTAAAATCCAGTATTAAATTAAGTTCTCACGCTAGACACAATCTATTGCAAGTCTCTATTGTATATAAATAAATATACTGTATATTTCCAAAAATAAGCATCCCATAACATGCTCCTTTTATAGTAATTTATTTATTTGTCACATAAAATTTATTATATTATTAGTTATATATATACTAATAAATTCATATATATCAGGTGATACTTATTTTCAGGACTATATAGTATATTTAACTATTATATGAATTTTTTTGTAAAAATAAATCAATTTAATAAATTTTTTCTAAGAGGTTTTCTTTTTATTTAATTAACAATAGATATAATTTTTTTAATAATAGATATTTTTTTAATATTTTTTTAATTACTTATAGAATAAATTTGTAAATTTATATAAATTTATATAAATAAATACCATATTTCATAGTACTGCAACATGTATTTTTATATAATTAATAAAATTTTTATTACATTTTTATTAATATAATATAATATTTAATATACACATAATAATATTTATAATACTAAAATCAATATGGCTTTTTTACAGAAGTGATCATATAAATATTTACATAATATAAAGTGTCTATATATTCTAATGTTGTATATTTATAATTAAAAACAAATATGATATTAAACTATTAAATTATAATAATTACTTAATAAATATGAAGAACATCTACAGAAAATATTTGTTTTGTATTCTTTTTATAATCTTTTGTATTATATATTATTATTTCTAAAAGGTAATAATGATTAATATATAAATATATCTATTATAAGAGCTAAAATGAGAAAAAATAATACAAATACAATTCTATTTTTACATATTAAAAATTAGAAATAGATATAATTTATTTTATTTAATTAAATATTTAATATACAATAACTATGATTTTAATATTAATTTTAGTTTAATTATTTTTTAATTTAATTTTTCAATTTTTAATTATTTTATTATCAGTTTTTATTTAATTTAATTTTTTTATTATTTTCTTCTATATAGAATATTTTTTTTAGATTTTTAAGGTAAATATTTCTTTTAGAGATTTTTTTTTTTATTTACTAATTTTTTAAAAACAATACTTTTATTTTATTATTTTCTTTCAGGATTCTTTAAAAAATTTCTTATTTATTAATTTTTTTCTTCTTTTTTTTAAAAAGCAAATCTTTTATTCTTTTAGATAAAAAAGCTTCTATAGATTCTTAAAAGATTTTTTTTAGAAACTTTTTTTAGAGCAGATCTTTCATTTTCTTTGAATAGATAAGTTCTCTTTCAATAGATTTCTTTTAAGAATGTATTTTTTTTACACATTTCTTTTTTTTAGAATAAACTTAAATAATATTAAATTGAAGTAAATGAAAATAGAGATTAATATATTTATTGTAATAATTTTTTTTTAAGAAATTTTACTATTTAAATTATAGAGAAAGTAGATATAACTCAAGAAGTATAATATTTTTAATATTTTAAAATAAATTAAAAAATTGTTTATATTATCTTATTCTTTTATATTTTAACTTTTTTTTCACCCCCCAACTCCAATATTGATATTTTACAGATTCATTAGTCACCATAGTCTCTTATTCAAAAATAAATTATTTTCTTTCTTGCGCCCCCACGTATAATCCCATTTTCAAAGTTTCAAATTATCCTATTTGGTGTTCACTTTTCCGTCAGCTCAAAGAGAAAAATATAGATATCATATTCTATAAAGTCAAAGCTCATGCTGACGACCACTATAATAATGAAGTTGACTGACTCGCTAAAGAAATAAGTCCACCTACAACTCTAGTACGGTCAAAATTAAGTTTCGACTATACTCTCCTTTACAACAACCAGATTGTTCTGACGCCTCCATGACATCTTATCAAAGACATCCTCAACTCCATTGACTTTCACAACATTTAACTACTTCCACATTTTAAAAAATACTTAACACTAGAGGTAGACTAGATTAATACTGCCTTCGTACTCAATGATAATAAAAGTGACTCTGTCACATCCTATAAGGCCTCCTCTATACGAAAATTCAAAGTCAAACTTCTGCTTGAACTCCTCCCTTCACTTGAAGTACTCAAAATGCGTCACCTCAAGCTATATGATCTATCATGGTCTTGTCCTAAATGTCTTACTAGCTTAGAGAATTTCGATCATATCTGACTTTGCCAATATACTTCACAACAAGTTAACGACATTTTATTAGATACTATCGCATTCCTCTCTCAGCATTTATCTAAACTCAATCAACAATTTGATATAGCAAGCATCATTTCAATAGATATTTGGAACCTTAATCCTACACACTCCTCTTTTAATTTCATTGACTTTATAAAAAACATAGTTCCATCTTTGCTTATAACGAAACTACATTAAATAGTAAATAATAAGTCACTCGTTCGTGGTTTACTTTCCTCAACATACCACTTCACTCATGAAAAAATCAAAGCTCTTTGGCTTGATCGATGTATCATCCTAAAAAAATTTGAAGATGAACATAACTTGTCTCTCAAGGATCGAAAAGAAAATACTGTATCAACTGGCTTTCCTGACTCCACCTCTCACACCTTTACTATCCCTTCCTATTTTCATAATTCATTCCTTTTTGGATCACATTGGTCAAATTTTTGGAACGGTAGTAACCAGGCCCCCCTACTGGATAGAACCTATCTTAAATTAGTTTAGGGTAGTTTAGTCTAGAACGGTGCAAGGTTGGTTTTGATTTAGTCTTCACTAGATAGAAATTTTTGTACTCTCTCATTTGTAATTTGTAATTTTCTTTACTTTACTTTTAATAAAGATTGTGCAAAGCTACCATACGTTAAAATAAAAAAAAAAAAAAAATATTTTTACTTTTTTTTATATATTATAAAACTAGTAAAATATAATAAGTTTTGGTTATAGAATTTTCAGGTTAGTTGAAATGAAATTTAAATCAGGTTAGATTTTTGCTTAAACCTGCTGATAATGATTATGTGAACAAAACTAGCTTAATAATTAAATATTACTCAAAATTTGTAGATTTTTTCTTTCCTATATAGGTAGGTATAAGCTTTATCAACTGAGATATCTAATTTCTAAAGATTTAATTAAATATATTAAGTACAAGAATAATAATTTTTCTTAAAACAAATCAAATTTTTTGTAAGCATTAAAAATAAAATCTATTAAAATAAATAAAGGTTATTTAATAAAATTAATGTTTTACTAAATATATGTATATCTTTTAATTAAGTATTATAATGCAACTAGATAACTTTTATTAATATTTAAAGTCTAATAAAATAAATTATAATTAAGTTGACAGTTAATGTATTTACTAGGGATATTAAGCAGCTTTTAACTAGTTTTTATGATTTAAAAGATTACTAACTTTAGAGAAGTCTAATTACAGTTCTAATCTAGCTAATCAAACCTTTGAAATTATGATATTTAAAATCAATTTTGAGATTTCAATATTTGAATCTTTAAATATTAATTAGCAAACATATATTTGAATATTCTATTTTCAAATAGAAACAGAATTTAAATTATAAATTCATTTTTATAAATAAATAAAAGCTACAAAAAAATAAATTCATAATTTTAATATTATTTTATTATAGATATATGTCTGAATTCAAATTCATTTTAAAACTTAATTTCAGATTTTCTAATTTGATTTTAGATTTTTAAATTAAAACTATTTTAATTTTGTAAATATTCTAATTTTTTTATTTTGGAAATACTGTATATATCAACTAAAAATTATACTTTGCAGTATCAGATTTACACAAAAATTAGAATTTTTTGTAAAAAAAAGAAATTTTATAATTATGAAAATTGACTTTTGAACAGGTCTATATCATATATTTTAAACCAAAAGGTTTGAATTATTTATTTAGAAATGGTTTTAAATTCAAAATTTTATAAGTACCAGTTCCACAGAAATTTATTGATTTCAACATATCACAATATCATAATTTTATTTAATAATTACAAATAGAATTCTATGTTTCATAATCTTATAATGATTAATCTATAAAATAATTATGTTAAAATAAAAATATACCAAATTTAAATTCCTTAATAGCGTCCAATTTTCTATATTTTTCAATTATTTTGATATTATTTTTTGATAGTTTTATATCCAAATTTAAACTTAAATTAATAATAAAAGAAAGAGGAATACATAGCACATAATTCGCTTAATATTTCAAAATAGACCTTAATCTCTATTAAAATATTTTTTTTAGATCTATGTTGCATAATGCCAAATCAATTGATAACTTATAAAACTTTTTAGGTGAAAAATCTACAATAATCTCTAACAATTCACGCTCTTCTAAAAAGAATAAGAAACGCAAAATTTCTATGCATTCTAATTGTTGATAACTATTAAAAATTCCTTTTATTGGTATTATATCTCCATTTGGAAATACAGTGCATAATGACCTTAGATTTGGACAAAATTTTCCTAATTTTAAATTTAATGAATCATTCAAAACTATGTTTTTGTAAAGACTAAGTTTCTTTAGATTCTTTTCATTAATTTCTAAGAATTTAATTATGTATTCATTATCTGAACATTCAAATCCAAATGTTAAAATTTGTAATTGAGGAAAGGCAATATCTTGAAGTTTATTAAAACATTTTAAATCATTTATTTCGTTAATTAATGATAATGAAAATTCTTGTAAATTTGAAAGTTTCAAAATTAATAACCATGGTATATGAAAATATCTAACAATACGCAACTTGGTTAATATATTAGGAATTTTGTAAATAGTTGAATTGTTTTCAAATAGTCATTCAACTCCAAGTACTTTATATGTTTTTAAACAGAAACTAATTCTGCTAATCCATTTAGGACGTAACTTCCAAAAGTTATTATTAGAGATCGTAAATTGTGACAAATTCAAGATAGTTTATACAAAATTCAGGAGAAGTATTTGAATAACACTTCAATTCAGAAAAATCTCTTAAACAATCTTCTCCTTCAGGATAGTTGATAAATAGTATATTTCTGTTGTTTATACCAGTGTAAAAATCTAAATGTTTCAGAGAGGTTTGATTCATTAACATATAAGATATTTCCTGTATTATTATCACCATAGTTTGTTGATATTTTTCAAAGCTTTCTAGATTATTAATAGGAAGATGGAGTTTATTAGATCTTTTAATTGAATTACAAATATCATCAATCTGAAGACTTTTGATAAATGTTGTATAATAAAATAATGAAGGTTTTGAAGTTAAGTCCGAAATTATATCTCCATTTTCAGATAAAATTGTTTTTGAATTATTAGGAAGACAAATGAGTAAAGTATTAAAATTTTGAATTTTTCTCCATAAAATTCGAACGGAAGTTGCATACCAAAGTTGGTTTACTTGTAAGTACAAGTGTAAGTCCTTATCTTTCAAATATTCAAAAATTTCTTTTAAACAGTCAACAGGAAGATCACAAGGCATTTTGTTTAAAAGAAAAAAAAGAAAAAAATACATTTGAAAGAATTTACTACTGAAAAAATAGGGTTTTATAACAATGTAGATAGCTGGTGTTACACGATCATTTGGCGATCATTTTAAGTGAAATTTAAAATACTTCAAGGTACTGTTACAATTATAATTCCGGCCGAAATCCGCATGTAAATCGCTTTCGATGATAATTTGCCAGGTTATCAAGGTGCCAGTTCAAGATGCCAGGCAGGCTTAATTATTTTTTTTTATATATACCGAGCTGGAAATCCTAATATCCACGCTCGCCCTTGTGATATTTCTTTGATCTACATTCCTTCGAAATCCTCCTTTTTACACTTTCGCGATAATTCTATTTCGCCGATTTATCTTTATAATTTTCGCATTTGTAATTTCGTTTATTGTTTTATATTTAATTTCCGATTTTTATTAGTAGTTTATTATTCAATGTTTATGTAATTATTTCGTATTTGCGCAGTATTAATTAAATAGAATTTTTATTACTTGGCATTTACATAATTTAGTATTTGAAAATGCAAAAGTGTAGAGCGCGGACGTTGAGGCTATATGATTAATTTGATATTATCAAATAAATACTTGTCACTATTACTTCATTTTTATTCATTAATACCTTCTGCGTACATTACAAAATTGTTTATAAATACATAAACGAAAGAACTGAATACAAGAGTACAATGCTTCATTTTTTGTAGTTGCTGGTCGCACCAGATAAAACTACAACAAATACGTTTTAGAACTAGACCAAATTGAACGGAATACGTTCAATTGAACTCAAAAATTAAGGTATAAAAAGAAGATTCTTTCGAGCAAATAATAATTTTCCAAGATAATATTAAACACAACTATCATGGCCTTCAACAATCCTCGAATTACTTTATTTACGGTAATAACGACAGTGCACAATAATGTGGAGACGATAATTGGATTATCGTTGTTTTAAAATTATTTGTCGTGGGTCAAAGGGAGCTATTACCGATATTTTTTTTTATTGTTGAATAAAGACTTTACAATCCAAGATTCCAATATTCGTTATATATTCTTAAAGTTTTTGGTTTGATTTGCTAGGAAACTGTTTCCCGATGAAGATTTTCATATCATCTCTAATGTAAGCTTAATTGCGGAAAAGTTTAAATTGAAATGAAATTTTTTCTTGAATGTTTCAGAAGTTATTTCATCACAACGAAAATTTGTTGGGATGTAAATTAAATCTTTTATGACGATAGAATAACCGAGAATTTCATGTTCCCAAAATAAAAAAATTGGATAAATGGAAAATCTATTTTCATGGGTTTTTCGTTTATATTAAAAAAATTTAAAAGTATGTAACTAATAATGTTCATTGGATATTGGTCGAATATTAATTTATCAATTTATTAATTTTTTTTTTTATTTCGTATTTATTATTTCTAGGATTTTTTTGTTTTTGTTGTCGTTGAAAAGTTCAATATGTCCTAAAGAGATCTCAGAACATTATGTTTCCCTGACCAAAGTGTCCTCCAAATCGACTGAATGTCATGTTACTTATGAATCACGTAATCCAAATAAACTGTTCTTGGAACAAGAATATATATATATGATGACCTTTCAACGTGAATTCAAAGTAGTTACAGCCTTCATATATTTACAGCATTTGGCCACATTGTAATTTTTCACATATGTGCTTATTAATAACTGGTTTTAATTTAAATATATACGTGATTATAAAAGGGTATATTATGATGTGAATATATACAGGGTAATTATAGACAGGTTCGATCTTCTCCTTTCACTTCTTTAAGTTTTATATTATAATATAAATTAGTATTTTGTAATTGTATAGTTTAATGAGGCAGTACTTTGATCATTGATTTTTATTAATAATTTATATAATAATTATCTAATATCAATCTTCGTTTACCAATCCTTTGTTTATAAATATAAACGTTAATAGCAAAACTTTGATTATTAGTACGATTTTGATTATTCGAATTTATTTTATTTTTTTTCCAAATTTCTCTTTCGACGTCGAGACGCGTGACCAATACGAAATAATCGTACCGGTACGGTAATGGTACGAATTTTACGAAATAATATGTAACGTCGTATTGGATCTAACAAAACGATTCATTCATCCATATAGTATACCTATTAAAAATTGGATAATGAAATAATTTTTTAACTTGACATTATTACTAACGAAATTATGTATGTTTTTTATATTCCGTCAAAAATCAAGTTGTATTATTTATTTTAGGACAATTAACATAAATTAAAATATAAAAGAATTAGCAATTTGATTAATATATTCTCCTGGTCAAAAGATTAAATACAAATTTTGACTTTTTCAAACAATCTTTTTTAAATATTAAATATCAAAAAATTTTCATTTAAACTATCATAAAGTAAAAAATATTTTTTAATGCTTTGCAAAGCACCCATATATACATATATAATTTCGGAAACTAAATTATATTTTTCGGTTTGTCTATATTTGAATATTCCGGCGATTGATTTTTTAAAAGTTTAGTGGCGCAGTATAAGGCCTGGCAAAAAAAATTTTTAGATTCTCGTGACATAAAATTTTATAATTGACACGATCACCCGGTTTCTTTTTTTATATATATAATTTTTTTTTATATTATGTTTTGTATTACGCAAATAGTAAAGGTAAATTACTATTATTGTAGTGAGTGTTATATGACAGTTTCTGACAAAAAAAAACGTGCTAATAATATCAAGTTTCAAATAACAAAAGAATCACGAAAATAGTATGTTAAATTTTTTTATAATAAAGTATATGCTATTACGATTTTTCATTATATAAAGTCAAGTGATAAAAAATTTTACTATAAAAAAAAAATCATGAGTTTTTGTAAAAATTGAAGCGGACGGGTCACGAGAATCTAAAAAAATTTTTTGCCCGGCCTAATATTCGTACAGAGTTAGTTTTAAATTAATTATTTTTTCTCAATATTTAATATTGATGAAAGAACTAAACAGTTTTAATTGATCAGCGAACGAAAAATTGAGTTAATTGGTACGCAACTGCTTTCCTAACGATTTAGTATGAAAAAAACCACAAATTGCCAAAAGAATTAAGATCTTTGAAATCAGGTAACATGCAGTATAATAGCGTTAAACTAATATATTTCCGTTAATTATGTATAAATATCTAAATTTCAAATATATTAATAATTTTAGAAAAGTTATAAAATTTAAATATTGTAATGAAATTATATAAATAATATAATTAATAATTCTCTTTAAAAGTTATCACCTATATAAATAAAAAATAAATTTAAAATTGAAGTTTATATAATTTAATATTTAATTTAAATTACCTACTTATTTCATCAACTTTAATATTTAAAGTTTCTGTAAATTAAAGTATATAAATTAAACTTAAATTTTTTATTTTTATAAATTTATAATATAATGATAATAATTACCAGTACTTTGACTAATTTTGGTGTTTTGATTTAAAATTTTATTTAAATTTTCAGTAAAATTAAGTAAACAACTTGTATAATATGCTCGTGGATGAGATGTAGTATTCAATAAAATATTATTTTTTGCTTTATCTGCTTTATAAAACTCTATAATATCATTTTCTGATTTTTTATCAAAATAAGGATTACTAATATTTTTATACCAATATTTTTAATTTCTAACGTATTTGGTCTTTTAAATAGATCTTCATCCCAACATCTTTTCATCAAGTTAATATAGCATTGTGGAGTATTTTCAATAATTTTAGGACGTCTACCTTTACAAATACTTAAAGCAAGTTGAAAATCATAAGCTTCATTATCAAATGGAGGAATTCCAGATATTAATTCCCACATAATCATAGAAAAACTATATATATCACTAGCTAATGTATAAGTTTGATTTCTTAAAACTTCAGGTGCTACAAATGGTAAAACACCATATATATCATTTTTTTGATAATATTTTATAGGTTTACATAATCCTAAATCACTAATAGATAAAATATTTCCTATATCAATTAATATATTACTATGATGAAAATCATAATGAATAAGATTTTGTTGATGTATTTCATCTAGTCCAATAATAATTTTATATAATTTAATTAACTTAGTAATCCAATTATTATTAACAATATTTGATAAATTTTTTCTTAAATTACTATTTTCTGCATAATCCATTATTATTATATAATTCAAAGTATTTGGATTTTGAGTGAATCCATATAATCTAATAAGATTTTCATTCAAATAATTTTGACTATAGCATTTATAATGATGTTTATACTATAAAATAATAAGAATTATTTAAATAAATAATTTAATAAAATTATAAATTATAAATTATATACCTCATTTAAAAATTCTTTATTTAAATCTGATGAATTATTAAAACTTTTAAGAATTATATTCATTTTATCAATTCTCTTCCATTTTTCTATCTTACAAGATAATATATTAATTTTCCATTATTTTCTTATAATAAATCCATCTAACCAAATAGCTTTATATATAGTATTAAATCCTCCTTTATCGAAATATTCAATATTTTTAAATTTATTATAAGGAATCCATTCTAAAACTTGTTTTGCATGTATAGCATTTAGCTGAGTTTCTTGAATAAATTTATCAATATATTGATTACCACTAGTCCAAGAAGAAAATTCTTTTTGAAATTGTTTAGAATTACAATTTTTACACCATTTATATGAAGTAATTTTTTTATTACAATTTGAACAAATTCCTATTTTCTAAATAATAATTATATATTCTTAGTATTTTATTTTCTTTTTTAAATATTAAAAAAGATATATTACTTACTAAATTAAATAAATATTATATAAAATTATAATATATTTTTAAAGTAAAAATTAAATAAAAATTATAATTAATTATATTAGTAATCATTTTTATTTAATTAGATAGCAAATAATAGAAAAGGAAAAAATCTAAATTTTAATAAATTTTTATTAATAAATCTACTTGACTGATCACAATCATATGTTAAAATTAGCTTAAAACCTAAAATTAGCAAAAATTTCAGATTTTCTTCTTATTACTAATGCTATTCTAATTTATTATTTATTTTAAAAAAATATGTAAAATTATAAAATAGAAAATATATTTAATTAAATAAAATTAACAAATACTTACCAACTATTATATTATAAATTATTAAATATAATTAAAAAAAAATTAGATAAGTTTTTAATTAAAAATAATAATATAATTAAATATAAATAATTAATAAATATAACTTACTATATATTTTATTATTAATATTAAATATTAAAAAAAATTATTTTTTTATAAATAATAAAAAAATTAATTATATTTTAATTATAATAAAATTAAAAATAAATAAATTATTATAAATAAATTTGAATACTTATAAAAGTAAATTATTAACTTACAGTTTATAATTAAATATTTTTTAAATATATAAATATATTTAAATTATAATAAACAATATAATATATTATAGATAAATAATAAAATGACTTACTTTCTATTTATATTAAATTATAAATAATTTAGTTAAAAATAATATTTATATATATATAATTAATAAAAATAACTTACTCTCTGATAATAATATATTTATATAAAAAATAATTAAGTTAAATAAAAATTAAAATAAAAGTATAAATAATTATTAAATATAATTTACCATCTATTTTATAATTTACTATTAAAATTTATTTTAAATAAAAAATTAAATTAATATAATTATAGTAAAATGTATAATTAAATATAAATTAATTTACAAAATAACATATAATTTATATTTTCTATAAAATTATCTTGAATTTAAACTATAATAAAAAGTATAATTAATATAATAATTAATAAAAATAACTTACTTTCTAGTAATTATATATGTATATTTTGTAAATAAAGAATTTAGTTATTAAATTATAATTAAAATATAATTAAATTATATATAATTAATAAAATAATTTACTATCTATTAATTTATTAATCATTATATATTTTTTTAAATAATAAATTAGTTGAGTTTAAATATAATTAAATTTTAATAATTAATAAAAATAACTTACAATCTGTTATATTAATAAATATCAAAATATTATTTAGATATCAAATAAATAATCAATAATTTAAATATTTTAAAATAAAATAGTTGATCATAAATTAAAATGTATAATTTAATATAAAAATTAATAAATAACTTACAGTCTATAAATTGAATATTTTTATAAATAAAAATTTAGTTAAATTAAATGATAATAAAATTATATTAAATATAAATAATTAATTTATAATAGCTTACAATCTAAATCATTAAATATATTTTAATAAAATTTTATTAAATTTAAATTATACAATTAAATATGTATAATTAATAAGAATAACTTACCCCCTAAAAATATAATTTTGTAAATAAATAATTTAATAATAATAAAAAATATAATAAATATAAATAATAACTTACAATCTAATTCATTAAATTATAAATAAAAATTTAATTATAATTTAAATTATAATAAAAATATAATTATATATAAATAATTAATAAAATAATTTACTTTCTGCAATATAATTAATTATTTAATATATTTATTATAAATAATAATTAATATTAATTTAAATTATAGTAAAAAATAATATTAATTATAGATTATCAATAAATTAACTTACTTCCTAATATATA